CATCTTGGAAAAACATTCGGGGGAAAGTTAATTAGACGCCCCCCCCCCCCCCTCCTCACCCGAGCGCGTGTTAGAGCGAGCTGGCCGCGTGACAAAGAACGCCTTACGGGTTGGGGCGCCCCAGACGGCCCAACCGCAGGTTGGAAGGGCGTCATACCTCCTGTCAGATGGAGTGAGATGGAATGCGGCTCCCTGGCCCCAGTGCCGAGCACGGGACCAGCCGTGACCACCGACGACGAGGATATCGAGCCACCTGCTCTCGAAGCTTTGCCGTCGCTGCCCGCTTCAGAGGTTCCGCGCGCAGTCCTGCACGCGCCCGCCATCGGTCGACGGTCGACGGTCCAGACGGGTTTGCCCCGGCAGAGTGCGGCCCGCTGCCGCGCGACGGCGGCAGTGGCCCCAGTGCGAGGCGCGAGCTGTCATCGTTGTCCTTCGGACACCCACAGCTCAAACCTGAGAGCCGGACTTTCGGCACCCACCGGCGGCCCTGTCTCAATTCAGTGTCAGATGCCTTCAGTGGCAAGCGTTCGGATCGTGTACTTTTTCAAGACCCGACAAATTACTGTTTGATGTCGTGCCAGGTGTATGTGAAGCTTTGTGAGCCAGAATATATTGTAGCTGTCATTTGGTTGCGTTGTCCTAGTCAAAACGCATTGACCACCACCATCGCCTCTCAATACAGTCTATCCGTTTGAGCTACATCGTTTTTACACTGGGTAGCGTCGTAGACTATCACGTGGTTAAGCACTACAGATTCCGCTGACCTTTACCGCTTTGATGCCCACTCGCTCTTGACGCTGAACGTCCCCTGAAACTGGCCGGTGGTCGCCAGGACTCGGAACATCTACTGCACCCCTTGGCTCTTGGTCGTGTAACCGTGCGGCGAGATATTTGTTTTCGAAATAAGTGCATGTCCTCAGGTCTTCCGTCCATCCAGGCAAAGACATCTCACCCGCCGTCCATGTGATGTTTAAGTTAAAGCGGTTGCCAATGGCTCGCTATCACCACAACCATCACTCGTGTTCAAACGAACTGCTCTATTCCACATCAGCGCGTTTTGTGGTGAAGTGGTTTAAATGTATCACATTTATGTACGGACTGTCATTGAGTGCACGGTCGTTGATCCCAAGCTTCAATTCAAGATGCCAAGACAGGTGTTACGTTCGTGCAAGCACGACGCAATGCCTAGAAGATAGTCTGGCATTTTTCCTGAGTCATGCGCTGAGGCAGCGGAAAATAGAATAGCAGCATGCAACACCCAAACGGCCGCAGATCCACAGCTACCTTCTCTGAAGATTCGTGCTCCACTCAAGTCTGTCCCAACTGCATCGAACATGCAAACCCACAAGGTCCACGTCCTTGAACCGCCCCTGGCCGGACGTCCTAACACCAAGCCATTCGTGATCTCCTATCCCTAGGTCAACCGGTGTCCGAGTAGCCCGACCACAGAAAATGCACGGTCGCTCGAGGCCGTTGGCCGTCCTTGCCCTCCAGCTGCGAACGATCAGCAGTCGGGTTTTTCAGGTCGGACGACGACCTGCCCATCATCGCACGGGGTCTGCTGCAGTACAGGGTCTGCTGCAGCACAGGGTCTACTGCAGCACAGGGTCTACTGCGACACAGGGTCTACTGCAGCACAGGGTCTACTGCAGCGCAGGGTCTACTGCAGCGCAGGGTCTACTGCAGCACAGGATCCACTGCAGCACAGGGTTTATTGCAGCGCAGGGTCTACTGCAGCACAGGGTCTACTGCAGCAAAGGGTCTACTGCAGCAATGGGTCTACTGCAGCACAGGATCCACTGCAGCACAGGGTGTATTGCAGCGCAGGGTCTACTGCAGCACAGGGTCTACTGCAGCACAGGGTCTACTGCAGCACGGGGTCTGCTGCAGCACGCCAGAGTGAGGACCGTCATACCCGCTCACTCCCTCGATCTGGCCTTCATAACGAACCAGTCAATACAATTTATCACAACCCAGAATTCAATCGTCTGATTGTCCTGGAAACTATGCCAGAGATTTATGGTCCAGTCTAACACTCCGTTGTCGCATCAGATTTAGCAATGGCTAGATATTGCCTTTGTTGACAGTTACGAGCCTGACTTTCACCCGTCATAGCGCTGCAACCTTACGCGGTGCATCTTTTTTTACACCAAAAACGCTACTATTTAATTATCTACAGCTCCGTTAAGTCTGACTCAGTTACAACGCGCCGTTTGGATATGATTTTGGAAAAAACCTAAGGGGAGGGGGCAAATAGACCCCACCCCTTCGCGTATTATGGCTACTGGTATTTATGACGCATTGCTTGAATACACCTCTTGTATGTAATTAATTGCGTTTAGAGTGATATTCCAGCAGTTTTAGTTGTACTTGGCAATTTTTATGCTCGTTAGTTATCATTTAGTTCAGTAGGTCAAATGCATTTTTACACATACTAAACAGGTTAAATTTCATATTACATCTAATGAGTAGTTTTAATTCAATATCACATGAGATAAATATATTAAATCCAACATTCATTCTTTATCCATTCAATGGGTGGCAATTAAAAGCGTTTCATATTTTTTCGATGACAAAAAAGACATAATTTGTCCCGTGGGCACACCGCAGTTGTGTTCACAGACGCAAAACGCTGCAGTCCTGTTTACTGCACGAAGCCCTGCTGTCGCCGCGGCTGGAGGCCTGGCGTCTGACGCCTTTGATAAGTAGGCGGTTACAGCGAGATCCAATGGCACAGGCGCCATAGTTCCATACCGCCGTCAGAAAACCGGCTGCTGGCGCGTCAGATAAAAGTCTGCACCATGGATGCAGAGATCACGATGTTTATGCTCTTCTCGGAGCCGATTGGTCGGCCACGTCTGCAATCGGCGGGGCTTTCCATTTTAGTTATTTCTCCGATGCTTGCAAGCTGTGGTCATGGTTTTCCCTTGATGTGCTCTGCAGGTTCAACGGGCTGCAACTGCGGGCTGAACGTGACGCGTGCCAAGGATACGGGGACACGGTTGATTGATGGTACGCAACAGGTGTAGACAGCAGGTACGCAGCTAGAGCTCATGATATTCACATTATAGTTTTGCACGCCAGAACATTTGTTAATGCGTAGTGCATAAAGTAAGTATTCAAAGCATGAATGTCTCGTGTCGTGCATCGCAAATCGCTTCATAAAAGGGTGAATAATACCTATGGTGGATTCAGTAATCCATTGTGTGTTGTTTGTACTATCAGACTTCATGTGGGTTCGTCTCGGTACATGATGGTTGGATCTGAGGGCCATATGGCTATTTTTGAATGCACGCCCTGGGACGGTCCATTGCGGTAAATCCTTCCCCAAGACAGTCCACTGCGGCAAATCCATCCCCGAAGCAATTCAGTGCGGTAAATCCGCCCTCGAAACAATCCATTGTGAGAAATGTATTCTCACAGATACTTTTTGCTAGAGGAGCCGCCTTAGCTCTCTTAGGGGCCTTTTCGATCATGATGGAGGGGAGAGGGGGGGGAGCAGCACTTCACTGACCACTGTACGGTATGGCAAATAGAGTTGTAAGTTATGTCTATGCAGAGGCACTCTATTTTAGCCTGAACTTTGCCACAATCGCGATTTTCGGCGAGTTCAACTCCCGCTAGTTTCTTTCTTGCTAGAGTTTGACTGTATATATATATATATATATATATATATATATATATATATATATATATATATATATGGCTTTCTGAGAATACCTCTTTAGCATATCGTGTAGTCGCGCTCAAATTTTTGGTAGCCCTTGGAGAATTTATTCGCGTGTTCTGTCACCAAAAACAAGTTTGTAGACTCTCTGGTTTCCGGGGAGAAACTTTCAGCTCTCTCCGAGCGGTTTAAAAAAAAAAAAACATTGCTCAGCTACCCACAGCCGGCGCCTGCGCCCGGCGACAGCAGACGAATCCGCCGATCACGTTTGTGAGTCGATCTCCATATTCAACAGAAATAAACAGCTCCTTCAATATTTTACCAAATTTGTACCGAAGATATCCCACGGCGCACTGACACCTCGCATAAAGGCCTTTTGCGTGACGTCAAGCGGTTTGGCCTCCAGAGGTTATAAAGTGTTAACCATAGAATGTCGACAAGCAAGATACATGCTAAATCTCACCCGATCTGGAATGTTACGCGGGTTACAAGGATGTCGTAAATAAGTCCTAACAACACCAGATCGAAAAATTATTCCAAGTTTCCTATAAACTAACCGGTTTTTGGTGTCATGCATCGTTCCTCATCAACTTCAACTTTACTCGATGCTTCGTTAAAACTGAAGAGGGCTGTTTTAAAACTGCGTTAAGTTAAAACTGCGTCGATTTCTGCTGAACACGGACATCGCACGGCTGCTAGCTTCACACACGTCTGGCGATGGCGCGCGGTGGGCCGACACTGTTACGTCACCACTGCGGCCCTAAAACATCAAGATATGCTCAAAACATATGCATTTATAATTTACCTAGAATTAAACAAGGAACTCCATTATTCTTATTTTGGAAACAGTAGATGGTGTCAGATGGTGTCAAGTGTGTGTGTGTGTGTGTGTGTGTGTGTGTGTGTGTGTGTGTGTGTGTGTGTGTGTGTGTGTGTGTGTGTGTGTGTGTGTGTGTGTGTGTGTGTGTGTGTGTGTGTGTGTGTGTGTGTGTGTGTGTGTGTGTGCGCACGTATGCCATGGCACGGTTTTGTCATTGCTGCCATGCTGTCATCGCTTTGTGGCATACTTTACTTTATACTTCCGCCTTTTACACTTGTAAGAGCAGGCACATTATATTGGAAAGAGATCAAAATGATCTTTGGAGTCGTAAAATTTGCGTTAACTACGACATGATCCCCAATCAACTTGACAGCGCTGCTTTCACTGTTTTATTCTGAGTCTTCCGACCTTCATTCTGGTTCTTCTCTATTAACGACGGCGCATTTCCCTCATGGATGCTCTTACCTATACCATTATAAGAACTGACACCATCCCTCTACAGGCGCGTCAACGTCACTGCCACCGGCTGTTGTCCACGATGCAGGGGTTGCACTTGAACACCTTCGCGTAGATGCCGGGAAACTCTGGGGTCCGCAGGCGGTGCCCGACGAGGAGAGCACGCCGATCACCTGGTAGAGGTCGTCGGCACCCTGGACCAGGAGAGGGTCGCCCCGGCCGCCTGAACACGCTTTGCCGAACGTGACGTCACGGACGTTGGCGCACAACGGGTCCACCGCCTGCAGACGCACCTGCTGCAGCGCCCCTGGCACACTGCCGGTGTACTCGGACAGGCCCCAGCCGGCCAGGTCGGCCTCCTGGCCCCTGTGGTCGACGTCGGGCGGCGGCAGGCAGATGGGCTGCAGGCGTGCGTTCAGCGCCGCCGACCGGGACAATACCAGAAGTGCCACGTCATTTTCTGCGTCGTGAGAAGGTCAAGTTACGTAGGCCGAATGAAGCGCGAACCGGAACACGCCGTAGTCCTGGTGGCGGCAGTACCTGCTGACGCAGCGCGTCGCCGTCAGCACCGCGCTGGGCGTGGTAAGAGTGCCGCCACGGGCCTACCGCTTGTCACCGTCCTTCCGATGGCCGAGCAGCGCCTTCTACGGTCGCTGGATCCAAGCCGTTGGCTCGCCGTCGAAAGTCACCAATGCCATCCCATCTCCACTTGCACTTGGTTCGATCGCTTGTACCCTCTAAGGGCTGCGGATGAACCTGTTTAAGAAGACGCGGCCGGGCTGAACTCTGTGGTGGTTTTGCACCAGCTGCTGGAAAGTTCCCGGCACGTTCGAGGCTGCGGTGGCTGTCAGAATCAGCTTGTTCCGAGGGCAGCAAACCCGCAGGCCGCAGCTTCGCGCCGGCGCCGCGTTGACTTGCCGGCACCTGTCGAGTGTCACGCACTTTCCGAACCTGTAGTCGTAGGTCATGCAGGCAGTCGAAAAGTCAAAATTGATGGCCTGTCCCTGGCCCAGCAACAGCAGCACTGCAGCAGCGGTGAACAAGGCGAGGCTCATCTTGCGGCCGCCCCCGTCTCGTCCCGGAGCGTGGCTGACTGGGCTCCGTCTGGCCGACGGCGGCGGGATATACGCCGACGAGTTCTGGACTCAGCGCCGCCTGACGTCACCGGTGCCGGGCGCCGAGCGCCGTGGGCGACCAAAGCCCGCCAAGACCGGTCTGAATGCCACCCTCTGCTGCTGCAGTGGGGTGTGGGCCTCCCCGCCGCTGCGAGGCCACCAGCTTGGAGCGACGTTCCTCCCGGGACTGGTAGTACGATTCGCTATCGGCGCCTCACGTCTCTGTGGCGGTCCCACAAAGGGCCAGCGCAGGTTTGAGAGCATTTAAACGATGGTCATGCGATTTGAAATATAAATGCCAAGACGTGTAACATTTTACTAAGCCTTCAGCTGCACGACAGGAATTAACCGGGATTTGTGTGAAGGATTTCGCAATTTTTATGGAGCCGTCTCTGACCTTGATCTGATGCCTCTCCACATGACAATTTTTTGGATGATGCTATCTTCCTACTGTCTGGCAGACTCAATGCACGTCTCCGCCTCGTCTTGGCTATGGTACATCCCGTCCTACTGTCCACCCTCATAACCGGCGATCCCGTCGGTCGGTGAGCACCCCCACGCCTGCATGGCCTGCAGCATGATCAGATACTGTCACCTGCTCCTGGCTCAATGACAGCACAACTCAGATGTTCTCGGTTCGATGCAGCACTACTCGGATGTTCTCGGCTCGATGACAGCATTACTCGGATGTTCTCGGCTCCATGACAGCACTACTTGGATGTTCTCGGCTCGATGCAGCGCTACTCGGATGTTCTCGGCTCGATGACAGCACTACTCGGATGTTCTCGGATCCTCACCCAAGTTTCAGTATGTGTTATCTGCTCCCGAAGAAACAAGACCATTAATGCACACGTAATCGTCTGATTATTGTGTGGTGCCGTGGGGAGATGTAGTACTTAAACAGTGGACAACCTGGGTTGGCCAGCAGTACCGCATTTTTCTAAGGTGCGTGGGCTTCATCGGAGCCGTGCCTGTGATATGGGCCGTTTGCGAAGGTCGCTCAAACCCAGCTAGTACTTGTTTGGCGTGGGACGAGCAAGGAAGTGTGGTGGGGGGGGGGGGGGGGGGGCAGCTTGGTCATACGAAAGCCGCTGTCGGTTCACGGTCGGCGCTCCGAGCACCGCTCACCCAGCCCAGACCCCGTGATCCCGGGGCAGCCGGGGTCACGGACTCTGACTCATCGTCCCAGTACGGGTACCCGATATGACTTCAACATGGCAGCCGGGGTCACGGACTCTGACTCATCGTCCCAGTACGGGTACCCGACATGACTTCAAAGCCTCCAATTGTTTAGCCGAATATTGGGTTGAACTAAACCGATTACTCAAGTAATTTTAGTTTCTCTCGCGGCACGTTTGCTGGTGGGATAATAAATCAAATAATTCAACAGAATTACCTAAATAGTTTCTAACATTTACGTAGAAACTGTTTCCATCCTTAAAATAAAAAGAGCTTGCGGCGTGTAGTGTGCCTCTAGAGAGTGATTTTGACTGCGCGACATAAGATGAAAGAATAACAAATGGCAGGGACGCAACCAGAGTCTTTCCAATGGGAAGGGGGTGGGGGGTGGGGGGTACAGGGCTTAAAAAGGGCCCCTGGTGGTGAAAGCCCCTCCCCAAAAAAGACAAATCGCCGGATAAGGCTCACTTGATTTCAAGTGACCACGATTTTCTCAATTTGGTTTCTAATTTTTTACCCCTTTAATTTGAACAGAAACACGCGTCTCTCAGCAGACGCACTTTTGTTGGTATTTGAAGTGGATAAAGGGAAGGAAGCGGCCGCTAAATGACTGGGGACGGGGCTTTCACCACCAGGGGCCTTTTGCAAACCCTGTACGCCTCCTTCCCCTTGCCAAGGCTCTGGATGTGTCCCTGCCCTTTGTCATCCTTTCCCCTAATGCCGCGCAGTCAAAATGGCCTTTCATTGTCAGAGGGTACCGGCCATGGAAAGGGGCCCTTTTGATTAGGGGCTTCATTCCTGTCCCTGCTCAGGAAATGTTCCTCTGGCCGACCCGCTTGCGAGCACAGCACACTATTGGAACACAGAGCACAGAACACTGTAGGCTCCTGACTGATGCAGGGGCCCATCCAGTTTACTGAACGTGAAGACAACGTGACGGCAACAGCCTACCGTTCCTAGGTATACAAGTCGAGGGAACCACAGACGGGCTCAGGACATCGGTATACCGGAAACCAACAGCAACTGATCGCTGGCTGAACTTCCAGTCATACCACTCGGGCGCAGTCAAGGAAGGCAGCATAGATACCATCGGTTAACAACTCCATCAGTGAGGCAAATACAGATATCAGCCCAAGCTGGCATCCAATTTTGCGGAAAAGTCACAACAAGATTATGTGCACCGGAACATTGTCCTTTCCGGTTGAATCTGTTGGTAAAGCACTGGACTTGCAATCAAGAAAATCCTGGTTCGAATCGCAGCGTTTTGAATAAGAAAATTAGGGATGTGACGCGTGCGTGGCTGATAGCCAAGCATCGTCACTTCGTTTCAGTACTTGATAACATCTGATGACAGCCGGAAAGTTAACTAGCCGAAACGCTGTGTAACTAACACACCAGACGAGGACGACAGTTAAAGCCATTATTCCACCCGTGATGCTAGTACCTCTTCTCAATCCTTCCGTGCAGGCTATTATGAGTAATGTGGTGCATCACACGTAATTGTAACCATCCAAACCTAACGTCAGATTACTCTTATATGATTGGCTGAGAAAACTTGACCAAGATACAGGCGTGTTGAGGTGAAGGTTCATTTTACATTTGCCTCTGTCCGTGCCTTTTTTATGACCGCGCCTACAAAGGCACGGTAACTGCGGCTGTTTCTAGAAATGGCTGCCAACCTACCAACCAATGCACATCCATTCACATCAGCTACTCTTCCCAATCCCTCTGACACCTCTTCACATGAAGGTTTTCCCTTCGATCTCTGATAATGTGCCCGGCCTCTGATGACGACCTCGGCACCGACACCGGCACCGCACCGACGAGTACACGGCAGAACGGGCCGCCACGCTATCATTGTCGACAGCGGCGCACAGCGGGACGGGAGGCACAGCGGAGAACGGCGGGACCGCTGCGGAGATGAATGCCGGGAGTCAGTGCATGGCGCTTCTAAACCAGGGTCATAGGAGCTTCCGACGAGCGTTTGGCCGCATTTACCGAAGTGCTAAACAAGAGACACTGACCACTATTTGGCAGCTGGAGACCTGAGCTGGCTTACGGGACGGTGCGCCTCAAAGAGGACCCACCGCCCCCGCCGTCACTGGGCGAGCTGGGTCGATACGCCCCTCCCCGGGTAACCTGGACACCCCGTACACACGGGGCGCCCGGTGCACCGGTCACCGACGAGGCGGGCCGGCGACACAGCCTGGCGGCCGGGCGGCACGGCTGAGGCAGACCGCAGCTCCTGACCTCGGCAGGTCGGCTCCGCACACGGCGGGCACGTGCAAGCGGAGACGCCGCGGCGCCGGCCGTCGCACGTGAGTCATCGTCCCATCACGGACGGCTCGATAATGCGTGGCATGGATTAGCTGCTGGCGTGAATGAGTGATGAGCCAGCGTAAGGAGCCGTCATTTTGATCCTGTGATTTGTCGCATTTCGCCTTGGACGAGACGTGGGAATGAAAATGACATTTAGGCTGCGCGTTCCGTAGTCCGAGCGAACGGCCTCGATCTGTATCCGAATCAAATTTATCATCCATGTTCCGCGAGTTTTGAACAGATAGTAACCAGCGTTTTGTATCTTTATTGTTGTGAAAAGTTTGGATTGTCCAATGCATGCCGATCCCCTTAACTGGAGTGTTCGGGTTCCAGGCTCTGGTTCGCCTCCCACCCCCTTCCCCTCCCTCTTCCCAGGTACTGTGCGTGCTACGTGGAGGTGGATAGACGCTCGACGATAGAAAATCCTTCAGTGGTGCTCTTTGAAGGACCTCACGTAATAAGGAAGGCCGTGATTGTTATGATCGGATCGGTATTTGCCGAGGCTTTGTCCTAAGATCGAGGTCCAGATTAACTATTGCACATGCCTTGCGAAGTATGTAGAGGTAGAGCCACCTTTTCCGTATTCTCGTTCACAGTTTCTGCAGCGTACGCAATTTCTGAGCGCAGTTTGTGATCGGTAAACTCGCTGGGCATTTAACGTCAGGCACGACTTGCGTGCAGTTTTTGAGAGTGCATTCTTGATGCAGCCCGTGAACGCTTCATTTTTATGCAGTCACTGAACGTACCCAATGTGTACGTTTTGGGAGTACCTTCTGCATGTAGCCCTCAGAGACACGCCTGGAGTTCCTGAACGCGCCGCTTTTCCCAAAATCTCGGTAGGTGCGGGTATTTTCACCACAGCTCCTGTTTGTTTTGTTTGCCCTCAGTTGCTGACAGAAGACTATGTCCGCAATTTCTGAGCGTGACTCCACAACCATATCCTTTACATACTGTTCGGGGATACCCGGTCGGACTCAGACGTCCTCTGTCGGATCCCTGTCCGAAAGTCTGTGAACGCTTCTGCTGACCGCGGTTCATGAGAAAGCCTACGGTGCTTCAGTTTTTGAGGGAGTCATTCATCCAGCACCTCACTGACAGTGCTCTGTCCACATTGTACGACTCGTGTCTTCTTCCGGCAGTTCCACCGCCCGGCCCACGAGGCCCGGGATGCTCAAGGTGTCCGGGCTGGCGCCGTTCATGCGGAAGAAGACGGTACGTTTCTCGGACGACGAGCCGCTGCCGTGGCTGTACCCGGAGCGGCGCGTCACCAGGTGGCGCAGCCGGCCGCGTCTGCCGCCGGCCGCGCTGCTGCTGCTGCTGCTGCTGCTGTTGCCGCTTGGCTGGCTGGTGCTGGC